TTCCACCCCGGATTTCCCGTGTCCATTCAACCAGCTCCTGACCCTCTCTGCCTTCTCATCTCGCCTCTGGACGGGAGCTGCCCATTTAGACTCATGTATCTACTTGAGCTAAGAAAGCACACTCTTCATGAGTATCATTTTATGTCTCATAGTTCAGTCTAATCTTTGTCTGAAGAGTTGCGGGCCACCCAGTCTTGCCTACTATTTCAGCACATGCATTTCATCTAGATTTTAGAAGTAGGTCAAAAGCTGTCCCTTTGAAAATCAAGAAGGAAGAAAGGATTGGCATCTGGGGGAAAATTCTATGCTTTATTTGGTCTTTTATTCTTTGTTGTGGTGGCAGGATTGTGAGGTCAGCCTAAAGTTAGGCCTGTGAACTTACTATTTTATCTCAATGAACCCATTAAGGTGGGGATGTGTTACAGTATTTGAGCATGTGTGTATTAGCATCACTCTGAAATAAAAGTACCCAGTGTACTGTGACAACGTGTGCCATCACAGGTAAAGCACTGTCTATTGTTATGTGTGCTACATGGGAGTCTCTCACTTTAATTTTATGTTTGTGCCTAAAGATATGTGAAGACCTTCCCTTTTACAAACAAGAGTCAGCAGAAGGAAATGATTGAAACCAAAACAGTGAAGGAGGAGAAAGCTGATGAAAGCAACCCTACTGAGGAATCAAAGAAAACGGATAAAAAAGCAGAAGAGTCCAAGAATCCACCTAAAACTACAGTGCGGTGCCTGGAAGCTGAAGTTTAGATGAGAGAGAAATGAGAGGACAAATCTAAGGCTGGTTTCTTTCTTGCTGCCTAAATATCCTGTCCCCAGCTGAGGAAACCAAAAAGGCCAAAGAACCAAAGAAGAAAGTCCACCTTTGGCTCCTAACTGCAATCAGCTCAGGGCTGCCTTTAGACTATGGAGTTCATCAAAGGGAGCTCCCTTCTTCTTACTGTAATCCTTTCTGGATCCTATCCTCCTACCTCCAAAGCTTCCCACAGCCTTTGTAACCTGATTATGTCCTAATAAAGTCCCAGGGGAGAAAGGAGCTTTGCAAAGCCCAAGAACCTAAAATAGTTAATGAGTACATACTTGGAAAAAGGCCTGTAGGCTGGCTGGGAATAGGTGAGTTGAGAGCCAAAGAGCCACTCAGTCCAAGCTTTCCTAATGACTCCGTAGCCCAGATCCTTTCTTAGATCAGAAGGAGAAACACACCACTCTGGCATGTCCTTCTGAGCTAGGCAAGAGCAAAAGGAAGGAAGGAAAAGTTTAGCAAATGAAGGCCATGGAGATTCATGTGACTAGAGACATTATCTCCATAAAGCCAAAATAAATAGATAAGAATGAAGCCAAAGACACTGACAGTGTATTGTCAGCAGGAACTACAAACACAGACAGGGTCAAAGCATTCTTCTCTGAATAATTTGAGTTGAAATCACTTTTTATAACATACACGCACTTTTTTTTTCTCTCTCTATTGCTGCTGCTATGTTCTCTAGAAGAAACAATCTATTTTTACATGAAATGAAAAAAAATACTCTCTTAAAAACTAAGATTAAAAGCTCAGATAAAAAAAGCTCTATTTTTATCTGAGTAACAGAAATTATTACTGAGGAAAATTACTATTTTAAGAAATAATAAAATTCAGCAAACATTTACATCTAGTATGTATCAGGCACTGTGCAAGGTGTTACATTCTGTAATTGAATTTTATTTTAAAAATTGCATATAGTAGAATGTTATCTGAAGCTAATTTTTTGCAGTTTTGATATACCTAGCTTATCCACTTATAAAACTAATGTTATTTTGCTAACACTAATCTATTCATTGTTTTCTCTAAATGGCAACCATCATAACCTTAATTTATTATTAACATACCTAAGAAGTACATTATTACCTCTGTACATCAAAGCACATTTTTTATGCCATTAACAAACGTATTACTAGCTCTTCTGTTCCAGCAAGAAGAGCCTGAGAGGTGCCGAAATATGTGGGCTGAAAAAATAAAAGCAATTAGAAACCTTCTTTGCTCTCTTATTTACTTAGATACATTATACCTTTCATGCAAAATTGAAGGACCAAATCATACTCTGTTGTTTGCAAAAGAGGGATGACTTTGGTTGTTAAAACAGAAACATATGTAAACCCAACAGTACATACATCACCATGTGGGGCAGTTCTTGCCCAGATAGTCTTATTTTAAGCTGGTCAAGTACATACACATAAATCAGTCCTTAGCTGGGATTCAGGTTTGACATTCTAATCTGTTTTGGGGTTCACAAAGGGACCTGGAGATTCAGAATAGCCCATTTGTTCTGTTTCCCTAGTTTTCCCTCTCTCTAATCTTCTCCCTTAAACTGTTAATATCTTCTTCCCCTCACCAGTGACCCCACAGTTCCATGGTTCTTTTAGCCCAGAGGTCATAACCTGCTAGCATAGGCTTTGCTGGTTGGCTCACAGAGTATTACCTTAAAATTTGGTTTAATTGGCAAGAATTAAAAATTAAGAGATTTCATATATTTATTTTTCTGGGCTCCTTTGAAAAATGGAACTCTCTAGAGATAGAATGCCCATATTACCTTATAGCAAAAATTATCTTATGCTGAATAGTGGCCACCCCCTTTAAATGGATCATTTCTCCGTTTCACCACAGTCCTCACCACTCTCTATTGCACCCTAATGCCAAAGTAAAGGTGTCATTTCTTACGGATTTTGTAACACTATTACCTTTTTTCCACACCCAGCCCATTTCATTCATTTACATTCTCTGCCTGGCCCTGTATGAGTTTGAAACTCTGGTTTGTCAGTCCTTTAAGCTTCATCAGCTTCATCCAGTTCTCAGGGAGTGAAGAAGAAAAAAGGCCAAGGTAGTGGTCTTGTCTCCGTGATCTGTGGGTGTTAGCTGGATCTACCTGTGAGAAAATGAGGACCTTAGACTGAGATGATAGTATGGAATGAGTTAATCCCAAGAGTAGAAATATGGTGCAGTAGCTGAAACCTAAGGCTCTGGAATAGACAAAATGGATTTGAATCCGTGTTCTGCCATTTATAAACTATGTGACCTTGGGCAAGTTATTTCACCTCTCTAAGCCTGTTTTCTATTCTGTAAAATTGAGATGATAATGATATCTATCTTTTATCTATCTTTTAAGACTGTAGTGAAGCTTAAATGAGATAATACATATAGAACACTTACTATGGTGCCTGTTACACACTAAGAACTTAATAAAAATATATATTAAAAAAATAAAACTAGGAAACCTTTTTAAAGAAAGTATAGTATTAGCCTGGGAGAACAGAAGGAATGCTAGAGCCATTTTGATACGGAAGTTGTTGAGTTCAGGGTGCTATCACTGTGATCCATTCATTCCTCTGGGAGATTTTCCATAAAAATGTAGGATTGGAACACCAATGAAAAATAAACACTGGCAATCTAGATTTGGAAACCAACTGAATACAGGTGATAGTCGAAGTTAGGAATACATGAGCTCTCCGAATGCTTAAAAATAAGGGTAGAGAGCTGAGAATAGGGCTTGAGTAGAAGCCAAAAAGGCAGGCTCAACAAGATATAAAACCCTCAAAGTGCAGCATGCTGGAAGATGATGGAACTTTAATCTTAACTGTAGATGACTGCTTGTTCCTCTGTATCCTACACTGATACAATTAAAGGCAGTAATGAATCGTGGGGAAATGCACGAGACTACTGGCTAGGAAATCTGGATTCTAACCCAATTTAGTTAACTTGCTCTGTAGTCTTAGGTGAGTCACTTCCCATCTTTGGATCTCAGTTTCCTTATCTATAAAAGAAGAATGTTAGACTAGATGATTTTTCCAGTTTATGATTCTATGAATTACATACAGGAAGTTAAAAATGTTTACAATCCATAGCCACTCAAAGGCTTCCTCACATATTCCCACAGTCCTGTCACAGATGTTTAGTGACCTTATAAAAAAAAGCAGAAGGCATTGGACATACTTTCCTAGAGAAAATATGCCATTTTAAAAGTCTCTCAAAATGTCGTCTTCACTACAGGACAGTGTTTACTATAATTTTATTGAAACTTCTGTGTTTCCTTTAACTAGAAAATACCTACATAAACTGGAAAAACCTGAATACACTTTACAAAGTATAAGATTCATAACAAAAGAATCATTGTTCTTATGAAAGAATTAACTTAGAGGTTTCTTCTTCCATAAATGTTACTATTTATATTTAGAGTTTCCTACACTTTTTTTTTATATGTAAGAAAAATAAAGGTTTCCTTCTCCGGCTACAAAATAACTTTATTGTTCCTATTCCATAGAGGATTTTTAATACCCTCTATTATGGATTTTTAATCCTTAATAAGTAATCCTTATTGCTTTCTTATTCTTTTTTTACAATCTAGCTAATTATTATGCTTTTGCAAAGTTAAGAAAAATGCTGCAGTAATGAGAAGAAACCATCAAGAGATATCATTAATAATATACTAATTTTAAAAGATTTTAGTCTCTCCTTTAGTTCAATTCTCACTACACTCTCGGTGAGGTAGAAAAAGATTAGAAATACACTGGCCCCATTTTATAAAATTGAAGGTAATTTGTACAGAGTGATTTTCCTGACTCCCAGGCTTAGATTAGGCTGAAAGATAGAGGCTTTTAAAACGGAATTAGTTATGTCTCTCTTTTTTACAACTTTATTGAGATATAATTGGCACATAATAAATGGCATAGAGTATATGAGTTCTGACATATGAATACACCTGTGAAACCATCACTATGATCAAGATAATGAACATATCCATTACCCCAAAAAGGTTCCTCCTGCCACTTTGTGATACCGCCCTCCCACTCATCCCCACCCAACTACCCAGTCCCCCTCAACCCCAGGCAACCACTGATCTGCTTTTTGTCACTACATATTAGTTTGGATTTTCAAGAATTTTATGTAAATGGAATCATATAGTATGTACTTTTTTGTCTGGCTTCTTTCACTCAGCATAATTATTTTGAGATTCATCTATATTGTTGAATGTATTCATTGTTAATTCCTTTTATTGCTGGGTAGTATTCCATCGTGTGGATGTACCTCAATTTGTTTTCCATTCACCTGTTAATGGGTCTCTGTGTTGTTTCTAGTTCATGTACAAGTCTTTGTATGAGCACACGCTTTCGTTTTCTTGGGTAAATACATAGGAGTGAAATGGCTGGCCCATATGTTAGGTGTATGTTTTGCATTTTAAGATATAACCAAATTCTTTTCCAAGGTGGTTGTAACATTTTACATTCCCACATGCAGTATATGAGAGTTCCAGTTGTTCCACATCCTTGCCAACATGTGGTATGGTCACTCTCTTTTTGATCTTAGCCATTCTAGTGGCTAGGGTAGGCAGTGATATCTCCTTGTAGTTCTAATTTGCATTTCCCTAATGACTAATGAAGACCACAGCCTTCAGTATGGATTACATCCCGACTTAAAGAAAACAAAAATCCTCACAACTCAACCAATAAGCAACATCATGATAAACGGAGAAAATATTGAAGTTGTCAAGGATTTCATTTCAATTGGATCCATAATCAATACCCATGGAAGCAACAGTCAAGAAATCAAACAACACATTGCATTGGGCAAATCTGCTGCAGAAGATGTCTTTAAAGTGTTAAAAAGCAAAGATGTCATTTTGAGGACTAAGGTGCACCTGACCCAAGCCACGGTATTTTCAATTGTCTCATACGCATGCGAGAGCTGGACAATGAATAAGGAAGACCGAAGTAGAATTGAT